AACTGCTCCGGTTCGAGTAGTCGCACTGTAAAGAGAATCCAGTTGTTTCCTTCGTCAAAAAGGATGCTTATTTGAGGCTACACAAAGCTACACATGCGTGTGATGTTCTTCATATTAGCCCACTGCTAGCAGAGTCACCTAGATCTTTCCTAGATCGGTCGGGAAAGAGGAAGCTTTTTACGCCTTCAAACAAACAGTTGAAAAAGTGGCCCCCCAAAAGAAAACGAAACTCATTCTTAATGCTGACACAACAGAGTGCACTAGTGCAGATAAAATGCACAGGTTCGATATAAAGCAGCGACTACTAGATGATAATGACCTCCTTTCTCTCTCTCGTACTATTCCATGCCTGCATTAACATTTTAGCTGAAAATTATTCGAAAACATGTGTCTTCTTTCTCAAATTTTCACTAGAGAAATATTTACTAGCAAATGTCGGCTGGAGGATATCCTAAGGACTCGCAACTCCCAAAAACCACTCCCATTTTGCGAGTTTGCGACTGTTACTTTCGAACCCTGTAACTTACTCAAGATATCTTTTTCTAATATAGAGAACGATTGGAGCTCTGGCGCGCAGAAAAAGGGTAAGCTAAACGCTCACTTTTTGTATTTGTATCATTTATTTGAAATGCTGGTTGATTTCGCATGTTTCAGGTCTGTAACCAGTGGCGCCCTTTAGATTTGTCTACGAGTAGGAACGGTTTTGGAATTACTATATGAGCTGGTTGTGTCTCCGGAGCTATAATACTTGAATTTTCTTTTGCTGACAAGCACATATAATGTAAGGGATAAGATCATGATTGGTGTAATATATCAGTGTTCAGGTATGAGGCAAGCATTTGGTTACTCTTAGTCACTGAGCTCGTAGTCCAGTTTAAAGGTCCCTAGCATAGAGGAAACCGTGTAAGCTGCCGCGGTAGAAATATTAAGTGTCTTGTGTGTGCTTCGGGGAAGGTATAATGGCTAAAACAGCTGTCAAAAAACAATATTTTTGCGACACTACCACGATTAGAATTTTCATGGTCTTTCTACGGCCCAGAGTATTAAATAAAATGTTCTTTTATGGTTATACAGTAAAAGCCCACAACTAAGAACCTAAAAATTAAGAACCTGTTAGCCTAAAATTGGTCATTTATACCCCCTATAAACAAGAACCTATTTAGCCTAAGAAATTTAAAACAGGTTAAAACAGTTAGAAGAGGTAAGACAAAAGGGTTATGTATGATATGGAGGCCCAGTATTTAAGAATAAGCGGCACTGAATTGGATTTAGCTTGTACGTCCCGCGACGTAAAGATTTATGTAGACTTGGTTTGAGAACTATTTACCAGTCTTTGAGTGGACTCTGAACCATTACGATGAAGGAGCATTTTTGCGCCACCAATATGCAAATTAAATTCAAACTCTTAAGAAGACAAGGCGAGACAAGCCGACTTTCTCGCGCTCTTTCTCGTAGCTCGCTCAAAAAAGATCGACTTGTGGGCAAGTGTAAAATTTATACAACTGGCACCTGGAATTACCCTGCAACAACGGATCAATTTTTTTTTGAAAATGAGTAGTAACACAGGTCTTTGAAACCTCTTATTTCATTGCCCCGCTCTTTTGTTAAGTTTCCAAACAAATCCTGTCGAGCTGCTACATCATTTTGCAAATATATGGCCCATCGTATTTATAAGTCTTTAACTCTTGGAATTCTGCAACGAATTTCTCGGAAAACACGGTCGTCAAAACACGATCAATAATCAGTAATAAGCCCCCATTGGTGAGGTGTACGGCTTGTCGGCAAGAACATTGAATAAAACCCCTGACAGAGATAATAAGTGAAAACCGGGCCCCAGTAAACTGCAAGTTTCGACTCTGTTTACACCAGCTGTGGCAAAAACCAATGCGCGCGATAGTGTTGTCCACACGGGAATGATATTTCCCCGTTTTACAAACCGTGTAAACACTTAAGTTTGTATGACTGACCTCTTAGTCCAACAAACGCTGCAACTATGCTACCAAACTAAGTTGACTGGGGAAGTACGGCATCGTCCATAACGGAAGTCACAATTTAACTTAAAGTTTCATCTGTTCTCTTCACTGAAGGGCGAATGTGACCTGGAGAAAGTGGCAGCCAAACTAGACTTGTATAACTCAGCATGTCCACACACTACGCAGATAGCTAACTACTGGCTGTGTCGCGCCAGGATTGCACAGAAAGAAAACGACTTTGATCGTGTGGTTTGCCTGTACGAACAAGCCTTGGTTTTCAAAGCCCAGGTATTTTACTTCACTATATCCTTACTTTTTCCGCCTCCTTCCTCGTATTCCGTTATAAATCAGCCAAAAGCCGAACGCATTCGTCTCCTTCAACGTAATAAACAAAACAGCGCTCGTTCATCAGGGTTGACACTAAGATTTCAAGTTGCCGGGTAAATACAACAAGTAGGCGGGGAATCAAACAGCTAGGAATTTCTTTCGGTTCTATTTTTCTTTCATTTTCCTTTGAAAGTAGCCGGGGAAGACGTTCATAATAGCTGGGGAAAAGACCCGGCCCCCGCCTCTAAATGACAGCCCTGAAGTTCATCGTAATTTATTAAACCATCCATAACAGTCGCGTTCGTCTCAGTATCGGCTGTAACAACGAAAAGCCTCTGACATTCATCTCTATCCACAAAACCAACCAAATCAGCTCGTGTTTACTTCTGTTTCCTAAACCAATGAAATTCCTTCAGATCATTTTGATTTGTTCACGTGTGACTATTTTGATGAGTTGTCATCAGGTTGATGTGCTCCGCTGCAAGTACAACACTTGTAAATACCATTACTCAGTTTACAAAATTTTTCTTTCATTTGTTTTTTTTCTTTTCAAGCCCCGCAAAGGAGAGTTCCCGGAAAAAATAATCCATGGGCCACAGGGGCTCGACCTATTTACCTTTGCAAATTTGTTTTAATTCCACCCACGCAAGGCTCAGTTTTAAAACCACAAAAACGACTGCAATGAAAAAGGCACTAAAAAATTAATTTGCGTTCTTTCAGATTTCACTTTTCCGATTATGCCGCCCTGATTTCCTAAAGTTGAATTGTTAGGAACTGCATCCATATTCAATGAGAGAAAGGAAAGGGTGCGTCCTGCGAATGTCCATCGCCTTCGCGCTTCATCCCGCGTGTCGCTCGCGCGTGACCTCTCACGATATCCACTTAATGGAGTGCTTGCTTGCAAAGTAATGAGTGGACACTTACCGAGAAGAATCCACCTTATGGAAAGTTAAGTTAAAGACAAAGAAATTGTATGCAGACACGATTAACCAGTCACCTATTTCCGCCTAAGTCAGAGGCAGGTGTTTGACTTACCGGGTTTTTAAGAGAGTTTTTTGTAACTGATTTAACTGTCTTTTTTGTAGCCGGAATCCTTGATCAGGGATGCCGTGTGCTCGTTTGTAAAATTCATGAAGGAACATGGTAGTCAAGGTAGTAATTCATTTTAAATTAGAAAATGTATTTGCATGTATTCAGTGTTGAATGGGTTGTGTGTTCTACAATTATTGCAATCTTCTGTGTTGAATCTCCAGAGGAGACAAAGGATGTGATGTGCGGGTTACCAGCATCATCACCAACTGAGTCTAAGACTGACGATAAGGACACTTCTTTAGAGGAACTGAATTCTTCCATTATCAAGTTCTGCCTTACGGAAGCCACGCCTTACAGAAAGAGGTAAATGATACTGAGTTAGACTGTGAGCAGCCATCCTTCTTTCCTCATAGCCACGTGCGGCGAGCTAGAAATTAAAGTAACATTTGTGCATTCCCAAATAAAGTGCGTCCTGTTTCCTCGCGGCTTTGCTTCTTGCCCCTTACGCACGCTTTTGATCTACTACGAGCCAAAAGAAAAGTAAGAGACTGCTTGCAGTATAATACTGACTCAGTGAGCATTATTAAAATTGTGCTAAAAGCAAGACGTCAGATGCACAGCAGGTTAAAGAAAAAAAGGTAAATGATTGGAATTTGTCTCAGACGTACCCCTCTTTTGGCTTGTTCAGATGAGAGAACGTTTTTAAAGTTCGTTTTTGTTCCCGGCTTGCTGATAATTTAATTCAAACTGTTATTCTGCAAATAACCAATAAACTCCACAGTTAATTGTCTGTTTCATCAATTGTTTTGCATTGCAACGCCGGCCGCACAACATTGTATATGTACTTTTCCCATTCGTTCCTCGCCGTGATCCACCATCTCGATTACCCCCGGCTTGCTCCCGTCAGGAATCGTACTTTAGTCGGTGGAGCAACTGTAGATGTAATCCGGAGGTCACGTGGGTTGAATCTCACCGAGTTTAAAAGATTTTTCCCTGTCGTGTGTAGTCCCCTTATTCCCTTTACTAGGGCTAACCCTCAGACTGTGGGATGAATGGGTTATTTGTAACTCTTGAATTTTCACGATCCAGAGTTATTTTTCCGTTCCATCATTTAGTTATAACTCAATTAGGTTTTATGGAGGTAATTGTGTTAAAATATTCAGATTGATTTTTCTTATGCGTTTCCGTAAAAAATTTTAGTTGTGTATGAAGCAATAAATTAATCAACGTTATCCACAGGGCTGATATGTCCTGCATGGCAAACGAAAGGGGAACTTTCCCTTCCCTTTTCTATCCTGGGCCTGCTAGTTTTGCCAATGAAGACGATGATTTTGTGATCAGGAAATGTCTATAACAATAAGTTTACATTCAACAAACGAATGCTATTGACGTCGCGATAATATTTCTAAATCCCCTAGGTTCAAAGCAACATTCGGCAAATCTGTGTTGACACCAGTGCGCAGGTCCGTTCGTCTGGAGCGCGTCAGTACCCAGCATCCCTCAGTGCTTCAGGAACATGATCTCACTGTTAGAAAACTGGAAGAACTTCCGGAGAACGTTCAAAACAACCTACTGTTCAAACCAAACTTTGCTGTCAACGCTGAACTTAACGAGGCCTGGACGGAGTTGCAGCTTGACTTTAACCAATAATCTGAATCAATCGACAGATTGTGTGATTTCGAGTACAAAAGGGGCAGTTTCGTTTTCGGGCTTTGCTTAGTGTTGGTATCAGCATTACGCCTCACTGAAGAGTAGGACGCTCATTGTCTCGTATGTCACAATTTAGTAAAACTACATGAGGTGGTTCCTTGCCAGTTCTAAGCATTGAACAAAACCAGACAAAACAAAACAATTTTAATCANTTATTCTGCAAATAACCCATAAACTCCACAGTTAATTGTCTGTTTCATCAATTGTTTTACATTGCAACGCCGGCCGCACAACATTGTATATGTACTTTTCCCATTCGTTCCTCGCCGTGATCCACCATCTCGATTACCCCCGGCTTGCTCCCGTCAGGCATCGTACTTTAGTCGATGGAGCAACTGTAGATGTAATCCGGAGGTCACGTGGGTTGAATCCCACCGAGTTTAACAGATTTTTCCCTGTCGTGTGTAGTCTCCTTATTCCCTTTACTAGGGCTAACCCTCAGACTGTGGGATGAATGGGTTATTTGTAACTCTTGAATTTTCACGATCCAGAGTTATTTTTCCGTTCCATCATTTAGTTATAACTCAATTAGGTTTTATGGAGGTAATTGTGTTAAAATATTCAGATTGATTTTTCTTATGCGTTTCCGTAAAAAATTTTAGTTGTGTATGAAGCAATAAATTAATCAACGTTATCCACAGGGCTGATATGTCCTGCATGGCAAACGAAAGGGGAATTTTCCCTTCCCTTTTCTATCCTGGGCCTGCTAGTTTTGCCAATGTAGACGATGATTTTGTGATCAGGAAATGCCTATAACAATAAGTTTACATTCAACAAACGAATGCTATTGACATCGCGATAATATTTCTAAATCCCCTAGGTTCAAAGCAACATTCGGCAAATCTGTGTTGACACCAGTGCGCAGGTCCGTTCGTCTGGAGCGCGTCAGTACCCAGCATCCCTCAGTGCTTCAGGAACATGATCTCACTGTTAGAAAACTGGAAGAACTTCCGGAGAACGTTCAAAACAACCTACTGTTCAAACCAAACTTTGCTGTCAACGCTAAACTTAACGAGGCCTGGACGGAGTTGCAGCTTGACTTTAACCAATAATCTGAATCAATCGACAGATTGTGTGATTTCGAGTACAAAAGGGGTAGTTTCGTTTTCGGGGTTTACTTAGTGTTGGTATCAGCATTACGCCGCACTGAAGAGTAGGACGCTCATTGTCTCGTATGTCACAATTTAGTAAAACTACATGAGGTGGTTCCTTGCCAGTTCTAAGCATTGAACAAAACCAGACAAAACAAAACAATTTTAATCACAAGAATTTAAGCTGAATTAGTCGTTGCCGCAATAACCTTGGTAAGGATTTTAAAGAAAACGGCACCGTAAAATTTTATATAAAAATTCCATGAAGAGCCAAAAGGAAACGTTAAAATGTTAAAAGGTTGATTTGATTTAGTGTCCAAGACGCACAAAGAGTTTGACTCGATGTCTCGTCTTTAATTTGTTTAGTGAACGTAATAAGATATTCCACAATGCATTTCCTGTTTTTAGTGTGTTGAGGTCTTATAGTTTCCTTCAATGTCGAGTTATTCTGTAATATTTTGAAAATGGAACTGTTCGTAAGTTTTTATTTTCTGAAGTGTCTGAAATGTAAGTAGGGGAAAATATTATGTCCAAAGCCCGTAATCCCAGGAGTCATTCAATTAAAAAAACTGTTGGTATAATAATCCATTTCTTGTATGTCTAGTGTATTTATTTTTACCGTCATTACCACAGCGTAGAAGAAAAAAAATGAATAAATAGAAATACCCACTTAAAGATCCCGTTTACACAGGTAAGGGTTAGAAGCCACGACGAAATTTTCTTTCTTCGCCAGACAGAAGTGGGCGAGTTGGAATAATCAAGACAGAGAGTGCAAGAACGCGAATACGCCTTTTCCACATTTTCCATAATGCACCTTATTTGTCCCCCAAATTTTGCATAAGCATTGTTTTCAATTTTTCTTGTGACGGCTGTGAAACCCAGGAGAAATGAAAAACAAAGGTTATGCAAAATTTGGGGGGGCAAATAAGGTGCATTATGGGAAATGTGGAAATGTCGTGTTCAGTTTTTCAGCCACGTTTTTCAGGTTCGCTCGCGGCCAGGAGTGATGAGTTACGATATAGCCTGTTCCAGGCTCATACACAGTGGGGAAGACGCGAAAGTAAAAGGCACGCGAAAGTCGTCTTCACGCTCTATAGTTACGATGAGCCTTCCCCAGTGGTCAGCGGTATATTTTCTCAGTAACCATACATAAAGTACATACACAAAAACCAACATGGCGTCCCACGTGCAGTTTCATCACCGAAAGTAGTATTTTATTTTACAAGCATAGTATATCATCGAAGTACAATTTTCAACACTTTTAGCCATGCTCAAGTCGAAGGTATACGTAAAGAAGACGCGTAAGGGAGGAGTTATGAAAGTAGTACGTGAACATTACCTGAGAGATGATGTTTGGTGTGGGGCGAGCCATTGCATGAACTGCGGACAGACGGAAGACAATTTACTTCATCCATCACCGCAGAGCTCGTCAAAGCTGTGCAGCTTCCCACATTATTTATTACTAGACACAAACATTGTGTTACATCAGGTTAGAAGTCTTTTTTAATAGTATACTAGACACAAATAATGTGTTACATCCCCGGGGTTACATCAAGTGAGAAATCTTTCTAGAAAATGTAGTTGAACCGCCATTATGCGGTCACCCTCTATTTAGCGGCCAAAAATCAAAGTCCCGTGATAACAAAATCCTGGAAAAGATCTGTAAGTGAAACCTCTTTTCAATAAACCTCCTCCTCCATCAAGCGGTCACTGCCACCTTTTGGGCATTCTGGTGAGAGTTCTATCGTTTTGACCTCTATTAAGTGGCCATCAAGCGCTTGATACACTTAGTTTGGCTTTATTTTTTAAAATATGATGAAGGAAAATACATGCCAGTCTGAGATAAGAGGTGACCGCTGATTGTGGACCCAGTAATGCCGCTCCCATTGAGCAATTTCAGAAAATATCTATACGATAACACAGACGGCTTACATATTTAAGCCTCCCTGGTCTTCGGAATTTCTAAAATGTGTTATCCCCCCCATGCCCTCAGAATTCCATAATCGTCAACGTTATTCTTGTTTGGATTTTCTATTTTTTCTCCAAACCCTTCAGATCAGAATATACAAACAGGGTTCACAAACACGTGTATGCCCAATTTGGCTTATTTTATGCCAAATTATTTCAAATGACTTTCCTTCTGTTCAGTCCAGCTGGTAATCAAGTCTATTGTTACCACTATTCAACAGATGCAGCCTATATTAACTTTATTTATTATTCATTCAAAATCTTCCCCAATTCTGATTGGCTAAAAGCTCCCGCATAATTCACCATAACCAGTTACTGATGACCAAATTTGGAAGAATTTCGTGTTTAACGAGGAAATGACGTCAAAAATGCAGCCTTCTACAGGTTCATGCACTGTTAACTGAGAAGGCCTGGGGACGAGGTTGAGTTGTTTTGGTTGTGAACTTGAAAAATGGCAGACATTTCACTCGTTTCAAGAGTAAGAACTAGGCGTTATCTGGGAAGCCCAGAGTGACAAAGTCTGTATAAGCTTTTTATTTTTAGCAGTCTACAAACCCAAAAAGTGTAGACTGTAAGTAATATAACAAAACAACCCCAAAGTTAAAAGGATCAAAAGTGCTCATGTGTTATTCCCTCAATAAAATCCAGTTCCCCTCAGAGAGGATCAAAGGATACTGGTAATGGGACTTTCTTGACTGGTAAATTAGGGATATGAAAGATGTGATAATTAGATTGCATTGCGCATAAGATAATATATTTGAATGCTATTTTGTGCCTAATATATAATCATAATTATTATTATTATGTATTATTATAATTACTGTACCATGCTTCAAGTGTCTTCTGTGTTGGCGCCTCTTTGTAGGCGCCTCCGTGTTGGCGGGATACTGCCAAGCCAAGCCAGCGGTGCATCAACACTGACCCAACCATGGGAGCTTAAAACTCTTTATTCAACACAGCGTTTAAGGATGTTTACTGGAATGGTTCTTTGAATTAAACTGGTTACCCTAATTTAAAATATAGTGTCCAGTCAATGACTGAAGGTTTTGGTAAAAGATGATGTTGGTGAAATCTGTTTTAGACTTAGCCTCCCCGCAGACGTCCTTTGGGGTTCGTCTGTGGGGAGGCTATTCTAGACTATGATGTAATGGTATATTTTTGTCTTGTTTACTAGGTAGATGTTCTTGAGGATCCCATCTTCAAAAATGTAATAATATTACAGACTGTTTTACAAGAAGTTCAGCATCTCAATGCCTCAGTTTACAAAAGAATAAGAGATATTATATCTAACAAGGAAAGAAAGTTCTATGTGTTTTCAAATGAACATCACAGGTTAGTAGGTATAGCCATACAATGTAACTACATGTGAAAGCATGACCCTATTATCTCTCTCATACCCAGTTATTTTAGATGGTAGTAGTTTATAAAAACATTGTTCATCTGTTCACACTTTATTAATTTAATTAAACCTTTATACAATAACCATCTTCTTCAATCTGATTCTGAATTTGTCTAGTCACTTACTTTGTGTGCCTCAGATGGAGTTATTAACTTTGACCTCATTTCACATTTCCTGTCACCAATGGACCTGTGTAGTAATTATCACGTGATAACATTAGTCCCAGGGGGTGACCTCAACAAAGTTTCATACAGGGAGGCTTCACCCCAAGGCCCAACCCCTTACCCTTCTATATCCCATTTTTGACAGAAAAGGTGAATGTACCCCTGTCATATACCTTCCATTGACGAATGGTACCCCTTTCACATACCTAATTTCATCATCATCAGGTGAAGCTAGCTTGGGCGATTACCTAATTACCTAATTTAGAACTTTGCAACCCTTTTGACTGCTGTGAATGCAGTGTCTTTAAAATATGAATTTGATATCACAAACTCAGCCCTTGTAGGTCCTTTACAGACCAAAATGACAGATTTCCCTACCCTTTCATAATAATACTTATGCTGGCAAAATCCCTTCTCTTTCATATACCTAAAGGCGGAAAAAGGTTAGTGGATGAGGAAAATAATTGAGCTCTTACCTATTCTTTTATTTAAATTACTATACATATAATCCAGATCAAAATTAAATTCAGGTTAAAATTTTTTAACCTAGGTTGATTCTGAATTTCCTTGTCTACTACCTGTAATTCATGAATAAATAGGGCTAGGAGACAAAGGAAATTCAGAATTAACCTAGGTAAAAAAACTTTAACCTGAATTTAATTTTGACCTTTAACACATATTTGCCCCAGGAGGAGTGGAGGGGGGGGGGTGGTACTGCAGATTTCCAGTGATGGGGATGATCGAATCGAGACAAAAATCGAAACCCCAAAAAATCCCTAGACCAAACTTTATCCACCAAAAAATTCCATGCCAAATTTCCAAGTCTTAAAAATGTCCAGAAAGCATTAACTGATGTAACACAGACACAGGATAATTATGTCGTGCCACTTTGCCGTCATTCTCATTGCAAATTTTACACTTACTATAAACTGACTGGGATACACAGGCACTAGCACGAATCTTAAGATTGTTTTGAATACCCCCAAAAAATCCCTACTTAACCCAAGCCACCCAAAAAAAAAACCCCTTTGATCATGCATTCCCATCACTTAAAATCCAAAGTACCTCCCCCTGGGCATAATTATTTGAGTATGTCATAATTGCTTGAAGTTTGCTGTTGTTTTTAGTATGGTAGTAGTATGTTTAAAATAAAGATATTGAGGATAAACAAGCAAAATGATAATATGAACCTCAAAGCATGTATATGGTTGGTGACGCCTTCAATGTAGTTTTTGTACTCTTTATCCCACTCATTTATAGAGAAACCTACATAGAGAGAAGAAAAGATGAATCCGCAAATGACAGGAATGATCGAGCAATAAGGACTGCAGCAAGGTGGGTTGTACGTAGCTAGTGCAGTAAATTAACTTCTATTGGAGAAAAGAGAGCAGCATCCTTGAGATACAGGGGTATTGTAATGATTTACATTCTGCTGAGGGCCAGTTAATTTCCTTGGATTGACCAACATGTCACATTGTCTTAAAAACTGAGTGTCTTAGTGATTGTGTTTTATAGAGAAAGTTAGATTGTACATATAGCTTCTAATTTTGGGCTTTGATTTGAAGAAAATTAGGCAAGAGGGTGTAATTATGTACAATAATTTTTAATTGTGGTGTGGGGTAAGGACTCCCATATGAAAGGGGCGGTGATGTTTTTCATCCTATTTAGGGGTGTTAATAAATTATTGTAGAGTTTGGCATCACTGTGGGTGTTCAGCAGGGAAGGTCATCATTTTGAGCCATACATACAGGTATTTCTCGATACCTTATGCATGAAGAAATGAAGAAGAGAAGAGGAAGAAGTTCAGAAAAAAAAGAAAGCATTCAATAAAAACTCTGAATTTGGCTATCTGTTTTAGAATCATGTTTATGGTATTTAAATTCCGAGTCAAATAAATCTCAAACCATGTCCATATTTTTTATTTGAATACATGCTATTCTTTCAGTTGGTATGATGAACACCTGAAGGAATGTGAAGGGGGAAATGATGAAGAATCAAGAATAAGAGTTGTTCTTCTCACTGATGACAAGAAAAATAAAGAGAAAGCTAAATTGGAAGGAATCATAAGCTATACAGGTAGATACATGTGTATATTTGGTGTGCTGTTTAAACATGTTCTTGTAATAATTATTGGTATTTGATTTTGTAATTTTGCAGTGGGCTGTTTTTCATTAAATTAATGTTAGTACATGTAAGAGCCAGAGGGTTAATTTGCAGGTTTGCAGGTTTCGGGTGAAATCAAAGGTCTTGTAACTCAAACCCTGACATAGATTTTGCACAGGGGCACCCAAACTAGCCTGTGTACATACTGTAACAGGCGCCAGTTAATTTTTTGTAAAGGCTGCGAGAGGGGAACGCATGAAGAGACAGGAGGCCACCTCAGTCACCTTTTCTTCCTCTCCACGCATGCATCCTCAAGAATTCCCCCTTCACTTTAAAAAAATAATAATAAATCATGCATGCTTAGTTAATAATGCATATGTTGTTTTATCAGCTCAGGAGTATGTTGAAAACCTTGAAGGGTGTGAAGCATTAGCTGACAGACTGGCCCGTCCCTCCCAGACTGGACAGGAGGAGGTATACCTTAACTGAAACTTAAATTGATATGCTGATCCTAACTGTCATATAGTCTTAAAATTCTTCTAAACCACCAAGTTTCTTTTGTGGCAATTTGACAAGGTTTATTTCAACCCTAAACTGAACATGTAGCTTAGTAATGGTAATGATTACCTCTAGTTAAAATTATTAACCTGTCTTGACTGGTTCCTTTTTTTTATTTTGCTGACCTTAAAAGCAATACAAAGTTTGTTTTTAGATTGAGAGGGATAATTGGGTAACCATATGCTTGATGGAGGATCAAAGCTTAGCTAATAAAATCTTCGACTTTTATGTTATTGAATAGCCAGTTGCTTGGTAAAGCATTTTTTTAATAACAAGGAAAATTAGAAGTACAATGCTGTTAACGATTTCGACGTTTAACGTCAAAGTTGTTAATAGAGTTGTGATATGATTTTCATTCTCAATAATGATGTTGTACATGTATACATCAAAACGTCAAATA